GGTACAAACTATAAAGTCAACTTATGTTGAAAGGTCCTCCAGTCTTTCAGCTTTTCATTTAATTTCAGATAAAAAGAAGTTACATTCAGGAGAGAATCCATGAAAAAAAAACTTGTCTGTGTTCATCAGATGACATGTTCGCCCTTCCTTTGAAGGTCCCCCCTCTCCCCCCCACCAGCTTACAGCCAGGGGTGCCAGGCAGGATCCATGCGACACAGATTGTCCAGGCTGTTTGCTGCAGCCACCAGGGTGTTGACCTTACTCTCCCCGCCCTCGAACTGAGCCAGGTTATGGAGACGGGTCATGATGGCCGTGACAGCCTTCTGGACCAGCGAGACCAACTGCTGGGAGTCCATGTTCTCTGGCTGTCCGGCCGGGGACAACGGGATGGACGTGTCCTCTTGTGTTTTCTTGTGCCACGCTATGATCTCATCACGGAGGACTGCTTTCAAGATGCCATCCACCTATGGGAGACGGACAGTTTCATGAATGAAATGTCTTTTGTTTTTAAAAAATACATATTTTAGAAATCACAAAACTGAACGCAGCCTGTGCTCCGCTCTTACCTACAGTGTTTATATGGCTTCAGTAAGCACCAGAGTGTTTACATGGTTTAAGGCTTTGCTATATTTGAGTGGCTGACTGTTGTGTGTTTGTGGTTTTATGTGTTTCCTAGTAACATCCTTTTTCTTTGRCCACCAGAAGTCCAGCCCTCTGGCATTCAGCCTTCACGAGCTCACATCATTCCCTTTTTGTTTATTTGCCTCTCCAGCACTTCTCTGTCCTCCACATCAGTCAAACCTAGTTTAAGTCAGAACTATACATAGACACAACACGCCTGTCATTACTGCCCTGCTGTACACACATTACACAACCGTCTGGGCTCATGCTTATTTTGTTTCATGACATTGTTTTCAATTCTGAGGAAATCTCTAAAACAGCTTCAAGTTGTGTTTTTGTGACTAAATGCAATGTGTCCTCGCAGGCGGTGCAGACTGACTGAACTACTCATCACCCAGTCTTCAAAACACTCCACAAGACTCGTCTCTGTTATATTCCTGATGTCAGGCTGAGTAAATACATCTGATATTAAAAAAGCACTCATTGCAAAACAGGACATATAAAAAGGTTATCCTGAATAATATTAGTTTTAAAGAGCTCACTGCAGTACATTTCCCTCATCTGGTGATTTGCAATTCTGATATGCGGGTATGCACTCAATGTCAACAAAGCACCGGGCTGAATCCACCAAAAAACACATTGAAAGCCGAGTCATTGACCTAGATTAGGCTGGACGTACTCTGTGGAACATTTTATGGTGAACTATTTATTACTGGTCGCTACAACAGAGGTTTAACTAGGCCTGTCACGATAGTCAATAAATCAATTAATTGCATGATAAATTTTTTTGAGGTCGGTAAAAAAAATGAGGACGATAAGTTTCATTTTCCTGCTTGTTGTTTAATTCGTCTCACTCCCTCTCTGTGCTCCGCTGCACAGGAGCTCAGCTGACTCCTCCCCCTCCTGTTTTCTTAGTGTCGGGAGGCGTGAACTCTCGCTTTAGCAAGAGAGCTCGTAGCAATAACAAACTAAAGAAACATTTCAAAGCAGAACGTGGCTGCTGCAGTGTCAGAGCACTAGAGCCTGAATGTTGCTGCGGGGAGGGAGAGAGAGGGAGAGAGAGAGAGAGAGAGAGAGAGAGAGAGAGAGAGAGAGAGAGAGAGAGAGAGAGAGAGAGAGAGA